AGGACGTTGAAGCGTCGTGGAGTGAAAATGAAGGTAAGCTTTTGGTCTGTTTTTAAAAAAGAATTTTCAATAATGGTTCCTTTCAGCCTCCCGGTGATGACGAAACTAATCATCGTCGCTGGCTGAATCGTGAGGCTGCGTTCCGTTATCGGGAAAGGAAGCGGATAGAGCAGCTTGAACGAAAGAAGTGAGTTTCTTGCTTGACTGTTAGATCTCTTCTTTGCTGACACGCGGTTAATGCAGGGCAGGCCTTTTAGGATGTAATATGGTGGGATTAAAACGGGACTGAATGACCCTCACTCGATATTGTACCAGATTTGTTCCTTTCGTGCTCTTCACCCTCTCTTATTTGGCCCTTCCCTTCTCTTTTTCTTTCATGGTACTGCGCTGTAGAGATAAAAGCCTGTCAAGCTGAGAAGGCTAGAGTGCACTTGTCTGGAAAGCGTGAAGTGTGGGTTCGAGTCCTGCTGGGGTCAAGGCTTTTGTCCATAATACAGCATTGTTGTGATAACTTTCACACTACTCTTCTTTACATGAGGGGAAATGTGTGAGACGACCGCGGCATAGGCATAGCGTTCCTTGCGATACTCCTTCACCTTGTCTGGAGCCTCGCAGTCATCAGGGCTCGCTTCTGCGCCGCTCTTTGCCGTGAGATATAATGATATTGACGGTAGCGCAACCTCTTCCTTCGTCTGTATTACCAGACTTGGTACTGCCCTTTCTATCGATCTGCGAACTGCTGCACTTCCCTGGGCCTGCGAGCTAACCTCCTTTCCCTCGATCTGCTGGCTGCGTGAACTCGGTTCTTCAAGACCCACCCACCCTTCAGGCAGCGTTCAGACTTTGCTATGACGGGCGTCGACGCGCTAAAATTGCAACATTGTTTCAATCCTATAGAGCAGCCGCAGACGGGAATCGATCGTCGATGGCCGCTATTCTTTTAAGAGAGTATAAGGTCGTAGGATGGGTGGGCGTCGCCTAATCACACAGTTGGGATCGATAGGTGCCGGCGCTATTGGAGGGTGGCAAACTGTTTACAGGCAGCGCCTACCCTTCTGTTATCTTACACGTTGTTAGAACGTAACAGCATCAACGCACACCGCTGCAATGGCGCTCCAGCTCGCAGCCGCAGACTGGTATCGATCGGAGACGGCCGCTTGTGCTCCAAGGCTGCCGACTCCGATCGTTACCAGACTGCGGCTGCGCGCTGGAGAGCCACTGCAGCGGTGTGCGTTGACATGCGTTACAGCGCGTCATCACGAAGTTTGGACGCCGCCTGATTTTTAAGGGAAAGTTATTACTCTTCATCTTTTTGGGCAGATAACAATGCATCATGTTTTGTGGTGTGTTACTAAGAAGATTGGAAAATGTTTCAGAGAACTAGAAGATCTTCTCTACCGTAACAACTTCCTAAAACAGCAAGTGCGAGTGCTGTCTAAAGAGGTCGCGTTATGGCAGGAAAAACTCAGTAGTGCGAACATTTGATGTAGTTTGTTATCTTCTACGGTTTGTAAGAAGTAATAAAATTGTTTTCGTTCTCGCTTTTCAACAGTCGACTTTTAAGGAATAGATTTATTTATCTGCAACATTTAACATTCGAATCTACGAGATCATTTGGAAAATGCAATGGTAGACATTATGTTAAAGCACATTTGAAGATGACTAGACTGAATACGTTGTGAAGAAAATGGAAAAGCTTTAAAGGCAATGGGCTTGATTGCAGGAGGCGGGCGGTTGTTGCCAGCGTCATTGGTGGAAGGACTGAGGGCGCGTGTTCGGCCGCACCCCCACGCAGGCCTTCCACCAGTGTCACTGGCAACGATCGCCCACCCTCAGCAATCGTGCCCACTGCCTTTAATGATTGGTCCAGATCAAAACTCAGATTGTCTTCAGTCCATGGTAAAAGTCGCCTTTTGAAGAAGAAAATCATCTGGGGGGTGCGTTGTCTTACGGGATTTTTATCCCTGAAAGTTACATGGTAGGCAGCTGAGTTTTGAAGTGGACTATGAATGCACTGGGAAATTTGTACATCACTGGGCAAGATTCGATCCCAGCACTTATGGGTGATGAGTGGGTCGAATTGTTTGGGTGAACCAAAGCAATGAGATGGATGTGAAGTGTGTGACCTCCCACATGGGGAAGAGCGCACTACCAAACCTGACATTTCTTTTCGGGATTCATTGGTGTTCCACGAGCACATTGGAACGCTTCAGCGAATTCGATCCTATTCTGAAGCGGAATTGTCGCTCTGTACTTGCTTGGAGCATGTACATCTGTCATGATAATCTGCACATAGTGCTTAGGTCGGACTACTGAACACCAATTCTGAAATACGATTAGGTCTTTTCTTCAATTACGAAAAAAAACGTGAAAGTAAGTTGCTTTAGAGTCCAGAGAATTTTACGTGGATTCTTCCAATCTTGTGCGAAGCATCAGCCGCCGCACTACACTACACAACAAGCCCCGCCCCGGACTGCCACGCCCACTATTCGACGCGAACAATTAATGCTCATTTAAAGCTTTTTTTACAACATTTTTCATATGACTTCTTTATCAACAACGTTGAATAGACTTTAGTATGCGGATAGGCTTGACTCCGCCCCAGATGACTCAATTTATTAGAAAATTTACTAAAAGCCATGCATCTTTGTAATTTCATTCAACGACGTGCTTTTCGGACAAATTTTTGCTAGTTCAAAGGCAGTAGTCACGATTGCTAGGGGAGGGCGGTTGTCGCCAACGCCATTGGTGGAACGGTTGAGTGGGGTGTGGCCAAACGCCCTACCCAGCCATCGTGCTCACTGCCTTCCATGTGCATACAAAGTGTAATTTGCTGACGAGCTCGCTGAGCTTCACTCTTCCCCTCCCCCCTCTCCCTCCCCAACTTGGTCATAGCTCATGTACATATGCGGGATGATTGCCTCGAACAGTTTGTTCTTTTGCGGAAATTCACTGCTCAGAAATTACAAAAACCGCATACACTGCATTTCGCGGTTTGTAAATCCACTTTCAGCATACAAACCCCGCCTCTGGGTGGAAGCACCGCCCGCTTGTGACTGTGTATTCTTTTGTGAAGCTACGAACTGGTACAAGTGAGCCATACTGTTACAGGAATTAACAAGTCGTCACGAGGTGGCCTGCTTAAATTTCGCTGAATATCGTCTGGTGCCCCCACGAAGCCGAACACGCCCTAATGCCTGTTTCTTGTCTTATATTCCCTCAGTTAAACCTATGAAGTACATTCAAATTTCCTCCCTTATACACGTGTTTTTTGCACACTTTACGTATATCTTTCCTTTATTTATTCTATCCCATTCCTTTAACCTTATATTTATTGCATGGTTTTTGCATGTGCACCTTTCTTTCACTTCTCTCATTTTATCCTTTTCTCAACTCTTCGCCCTATGTAGTCCGTGTCTTTGTTTCGCCAACCTTACTCCACTGAGGAGCCTGGGGGTTGGCGAGACAATGATGGTTCGTCTGGGGATAACAGGAAACGGACCATCTGTGTTTTGGAGTGTTTTCTTCTTCCAATATTCTTTTCTGTTGTTTGTAATTAGTTCGCCCCCATAATTACCAATTTGGCTTGCCTTGCTTCACAGTTTTCTGAGCCCTAAACCTTGGTATCCTTCGCTGTTTTCAGGAATGGGCTGTCTCCGCTTTTTTCCATGGTTTTTATCGAAAATAATGAAAATCTTACATTAGCGTATGCGAGGAAGAACATTTGTTCACTGGTGAAGTTCTGAAAGCCAGGTAGAGCCGGTTCTTCCATAGAGGTGTTCGAACGCCATGCTTTGTATGCCTAATTGAACAGGTTGCACATACAAAGTATTAATTATTCAATTGAAAAGGTATTCAGCTATTTTCAGATGGGGTTCAGATTGGTAGAAAGAAACCCACGTTGAAAGCTGTTTTCACACCCCCGTTGTCGGCAATGTTCTCTCCCAAGCTCAGTTGTCCGTTGAGGTGTATACCAGCTTCGGCTACTTTTACTGAGCTATATTGTCGCACGAAACATCTGCAACAGATGGTTTTTCCAAGCTGATAACAACCTGGGCAATGTATGTTTGACAACATCTGGCTCGTTAGGATCTCATAAACCAGGTGGACCGACCCTGATGTGCTTGGGATTACATGCGGATCGTTGTAATGTAAAACTGAGAGCATTAATGTATTCTGTTCTGGTTCTTTCATCGAGAATGCAGCTGGTTCAAAGAGTAGTCCACGTTGGTCGGGTAGGCGGAGACAGTAATCCCCATTCCTCTTGGTGCGCCCTTCGTTCTTTATTGTTGGAGCAGTAAGGAGCGTCAATGAAAAAAACACAACGGCTCGCCTGACTCCACCCAAACAGTCAACCTGGCCGTGCTTTTTAGGGCACATTCCATGATTAGATAAGTTAAGCTGTGAGTAATTTCGGTGTACTGATGAGGCGTGGGACGATCAGGAGGTATGGAAAGTAAGAAGATATAACGAATGATAAGGATAATAATGTGTGATAACAATGAACAAGACCACTCAACTGACCTTGTCTTTTCCGTGAACTTCTCAGCAGTGTTGGAATCCCACCAGTCATTAAGATTGCCGAGTTCATCATATCGCCCTCCTAAACTTTCGAATGATTTCAAGAACTCTTTGAGAATTATCTGGAATTTTTTCTTTGTCACACTTACAGAATAGTATGGTCTAACGAAGGACAAATAATACAAAAATTGCCACAACGTGACTTTTGCTTCTTTAAGACTTCTCAGTGCTTACTGCTTTACAGCTAACCTTGATCGTCGAATGCATGCGATACTTCGTGTCCAATTACAGCTCCTACCATTCCATATGTAACATAATTGGGGACGCCTAGAGTGAGAAACGGGAACTGCATGATACCAGCTGGGAAAACTGAAATGGGAAAGTTGCAATTGTGAAGTGTCCGAATTTTCAAAGTTTAATAATGGACACATAACAATATCTTTTCTCTTAAGGAGGTGCTGTACGAAACGTGTTCGCTCCCCTCACCGCAATAGAGGACGTATTACGCATAAAGTATGGGTGAAGCTGTATGGCGCGGTGTGGACCAGGAGATTTGAGCTGTGGCGGCACGCAGAAACCAGCTTGGCGCTGTATAGTTATCTCATTCGCGATCAGTGCACGTCGTACGGATGGGGATCCGCAGCGAGGGAGCCGTTTCAGGTCTATGGAGGGAGGGAGGTTTGGCAGAAACTCCTCCAACGGCGGGAGTACCCTGCCCGCTATACTCTGGCACTTTGTTTCGAATCATTCTGTGAATTCTTCTGATTCCATCCTGCCATTTTCATCGCGTCTTTCGGACTTCTTGACGTCGCCTGGCGACATTCCCTCAATAGCACAAGTCTCGTATGGGGTGGGGGGGGGTGGAGAAGGGAGGAGGAATACGCTTTTCTGAACTCACGATAGTGGGAAGTGCGGAATACAACTGGCAAACTTCCACACGCCTCGTTTGCAGTTCCTGAGAGACTCCAGAGCCTCCCCCCCCTCGCAGCCCTCCCCCCTCGAACTAATCCAGCGATTGTTGGACGTGGAAAAAACTTGGTCAATTAAAGCTCAACATACTCATTTCGTTGTTATTCGGAGCATAGTACGCATCCACCTGTGCTGGGCTCTGATACCACATTGTCCTGAAAAATATTAAGGTTGCCGATAGCGCAATTCAGAGCATCAGCTTTATGGAGGAGTTGACAAACCTATCCAATGCTTGATTAAGCCTCATCAATTCTTCGGCGTAGCGGGCCAGCTTTAATGGCGAAATTGTTAGATGCAGCAGGGTATTCTCTGTGGGTTTTATAACCTTAAAAGAGGCAGGATTTGCTGAAGGTAATTCAAATTCACAAGCAGCGGGCGCTGTTCGGCTTGGCAGGGGCAACAGGCTTTTCGCTAGCTCCTCCTGCTAGTTCCTGTTAAATAAATGCCACTTTTTGGTAAAACCTGTGGATCAAATATGAACGAAGCTACTGTTATTCATAGCTCTGCAGGACCAAGCCAAAATGCGTCCAAGTGGCATAATTTCTAGGATAAGAACTGGGAATGAAGGGTGTATTGAAAATCTTCAACTTGAAGACTCGAAATCTCAATAAAAGCATTTTGTGGGTGTAAACGCTGGGGTGGTGCCACCCCGTGACGTCGTGCAATATCGTGCCGCGGTTGACACAACGGTTAGAATCCTCTAAGAATTAACGAACTAGACTCAATAAACTCAGAAGTTTATGAAAACGTACAATGCCCCAATGTTCCTCCATCCAAGTGTCATTAAAGAGCACTTCGGGGAATCCGTTCTTGTACTCGATCATTCCGGCCTTTTCGACTGCCCGCCGTCGCGTCGACTCGTCCATCCAGTCCAGTACGTTCAGCTGCTTGATGAATTCGCCTTTCAGGAAGCCCGTTAACTCTTGCATCTGAAACTCTCGGGTTCCTTTCAAGAAAGATTGCACCAGCTCACTCAGATTTTTGAACTTTTTAATGACGTGGAAGTGGAGTATCACGTGATCCCACTTAATTTCGCGCGCGACACAATGCAGTTTTCGGAATTGCCACGCGCGGCAGAGACAGAACCAATTGCACGTTTCTAATTTGGCAAGGTACGATAAGTAGTTCACGATCTTACCTTTGCCATAGCCCGCTCACGCTCGAAGAAATGTTCAACAAACAGCTTCCCAACTGGCATATCCATCATGATCACCGACAATGTCACACAATCTTCCCACCTGTAGAAGTACTTTTTTACCACGGTACTTTCCAACCAAACTGAAAACACTGTAAGCGCACCTATCCGGTGGCGGACTGTTGAACATGCCTGTCTGATTGGCTTTGAATTGATAGAATGGCTCTCGTGCAGTTGGAGGAAGAAAAGGGGAGAATCCTGAAAAAGTTCTTTGGAACTAACTGTAACTTTGAGGCGATAGTAATATGAATGAATGGTGAATGTGGCCAGAAGGTCCACGTTGCGGCGCCGCGCAGAAAACAAGCTACTGGGCAGGATGATCCGCCCCTTCCCTTCGCCGTGGCCCACAAGGCATCGTTCACAGCTCGCACAGCTGCGTCGCAACGTGGATCTCTTGACTCATGCCTTTCCTTACAGTGCTTATCGGGGTACAGCATCGCGATGGGTCACAGCGCTGTCATTGCCATCCCTTCCCCTCGGATCCCCCCCCCCTCAGTACGACCCCTTTGACAACCCTATTGTATTACCTAGTACTTCGGACTTCCTACCAGTTGTCGAGAAAAACTCACAAGTTCCCAAAGAATTGCTGTCGGCATATACAGGGGGGGGGCAAAAAAAAGTCATTTTGCCTCCATGACTTTCAAGGCGCTATAAGTTACACTTTATTAAATTTTTATCGGAGGAGCGCCATCGAGAGATTCGGCCGCGCGAAAGTGAGTGGGTACCGGAGTTGAGCGAGATCGTTGATTTCTCCGCCACTGTAGACCACCCTGTTGAGCTCCGCCCGAACCGAGTAATTGAGGGGGTTT